TTCATGTGAAACCATGAATCAAAAAATGAATTACTAACAATAAGATTTTGATATATCAATAAGAATATTATTTAAATCATATGTGACTACATCAAACAACGAAATATTATGTAACGCTATATATAGACTCTATTTGATACAAGAATAACAATGCGAATCTTTCAGTCAACACTTACCTACAAACTAAATAATGACAATTTTAAATTGTGCTTGAAATATAATTTAAACAAGCGGCCCAGAGGGCCTGTATCGCTCACCTGTCTCTTTTGTTACATGCAACTGACATATAGGTAACTTAAGACCATTTGGTAACTAGAACACAAGACATTTTAACATCTCTTAAACGGTTCCGACGGTTCTGAAGATATTGTTGTTTGAAACTTAAATTTTTTATTTTAAAGCATTTAACCAAAGTTGACATTTGAATCCCGATTTGCACTTAAAGTTGACCTTTGACCTCATTACTGTAATTGAGGAAAAATATTCGCACTGCTAGTCTACATAACAAACCTAAGTATCATGACTCTAGTTCAAATGGTTCTTAGGATATTGTTGTTTGAAATATTTAACATATTTAAACTCTGTGACCTTGAAAGTAGGTCAAGGTCATTTTAATGAGGAAACTTTATAGCACTACATCCCAGGTACCTACTGGCCAAATATCAAGACCCTGGGCCTTATGGAACTTGAGAAGAATATTGTTAAAGCTTTTAACCAAAGTTGACATTTGACCCCCGACTAGCATTTAAAGTTAACCTTTGACTTCATTACTGTAATGAGAAAAATATTTGCACTGCTGGTCTACATAACATACCCAAGTATCATGACTCTAGTTCAAATGGTTCTTAGGATATTGCTGTTTGAAACTTTTAACATATTTGACCGCTGTGACCTTGAAAGTAGGTCAAGGTCATTTAATGAGGAAACTTTATAGCACTCCATCCCAGGTACCTACTGGCAAAATATCATGACCCTAGGTCCTACAGTTCTTCAGAAGAAGTCGTTCAAAAGAAAAAGTTGACGGACATACGACGGACTACGGACGCCGCAGTACAGCATAAGCTCACATGGCCCTTCGGGCCAGGTGAGCTAAAAAATGTATATGTGTCTATGAGATGCCAATATGACATATTTTACAAAATCTAAACAATATTTTCAGGAAAATCTCAAAATAAATATGAATTACATTACTGTACACTACTGGGAAATTTTTGCTCACAAAAACATTTCCCATCACCACTTTAAATTCATATTCTTCCTGTGTCAATTATGTCATTCACATGTAATTATGTATATGTGGTATTCTATGTACCAATATTTGCCGTCATGATAAATTAGCCCTCATTATGCAGGGTTGAAAAAGGCAAAAGTTAAACTGCAGCAAAAAAAATCCAGTCGGTGACATTTATTCAGAACACAAAAACTCAAAGAAATATAAAGTGTCCATCTCTCTGATACACATGCTTGCCAAAATCAATTTTAAATTTAAGGGGTGACAATAAGTTATGAGACAACTAACCAACACAAACCTCCAAGCCATCAGCCATTTCAAAAACATTTTTTACAAAACTAATAAAGCAATTCAACTACTAACCTATTTCAACTCTATCATTGTGTAATACAGATATTTTCCGAAGTCCCTTTAACTAAAAATACAATGTCAATCGAAAAACAGGGCAACAGAACAGAAATAAATGGGGGTGGGGCAATAAAGAGAACAGACTGAAAACATAACTGATTGTCTAGAAAAGGGACTAACGACAATTCACATCCTTGATATAAACATGTAGGTGACATAAAGACGGAGGCATGATCAACCGATTTCAGTAAAAACGAGAGAAAAAAAAACCCAGAAAAACATCAAATGTTGAAATATGAAAAAACAAGAAATATGACAGAACAATAAAAGTTGAGCTCTTAATAATGACAATTTTTTCCCCTATTCTACTCCTGTAGCAAACAATGATAGGTCCTGGAACACCAATAGATAGAAAAAACACTTCCAGCATAAAATGTAATGATATGTTGGTTTCAATAAGCTAGGCACATCTTTCGGTAATCTCAAATGAAGGTAGATCATAAAAGGAATTTTCTGAAAATTTCATTTTTTCACTACTACTATTCACATTTTCTTTTCAGATTATTTATTTGCTTCTTATTCTCATATTTTTTAAACAACAAATCATAAAAAGAAAAAAATAATTAGAATAAAAATTACAAAGCATGGATATAAGATATGAAATTATTCTTTCAAATGAAAGAAATGTTTATCATTAAAATTCAAAGTTATGTGGAATTTATTTTCATGTGTATTCTTCTGAAGGAGAAAATGTGAGATTGTACACAATTTACTGTCGTTGTTCCCTTCATAAATTTAACTCAATCACCCCTGAAATTTCATAATGGACTATTCCAACATTTGAATTGGAAGAGTTCAAATGTATCTTCAGGGGTGAATGAGTTTAACGGTTGTGAAAAAACTGTTGCAAAAGCAAATGCGAACAATATAAATGATGTATAAACTTAAATTAAAGGGGTCTCAGCATAGAGAAAAGCAACATGCATAATCATGCGAATATGTAATTAATAAGCTTTAGTTAATTAAAGTAATAAGTAACAGTATATGGCACAATATGAATAGACGATACAAAATAACATGACTACATATACATGTCTGTACATCTAACTTGAATATGTCTTTCAACATATATTTTCATAAAATATAATATGCACCAAGTTATTTAATTGAATATACAAAATGTATTAGGTGTATCCATGCATGCCATTCATAAGTAATATTGATGTTGGATTTCTTCCTAAACAGTGTCATCATGTATGGGGTCAGCTGCCCGACTACCTGGGTGTTGTCCAGTTTCCTCCCATACATTAACCCCGTCCATGTGCTACCACCGAGTCAACAAAACGATTGATATAAGTTGATAGAACTTCAACATTTCACAATTGTTGTAAAATAAATAAAGTTCAAGCAAAGGAAAGGGCAAGGTGAATTTGGCATGTAAAGAAATATAATCAAATGGTCATATATGATTCCTGAGAAATTACTGGTCTAATTGTTATAGTTTAATGAAAAGTTATATGTACAAACTGAGCTCTACTCCTGATTATATTTGCTGGTCATTTGTCACGGTTAAAGGGTCAAAGGTCATGGGCAAAGTTGGGTGGTGGTGGTGGAAAGATAGGGTGGGGTATATCTATGTGAGTCTCCCGTTACTTTCTTTTATGTTTTCATAGATTAGCTTCAAAACTCATGAATGTATCACAACAGTTTATGACACATTAATCTTCTTTCAATCAAATAAGAAAAAGAAATAATCCTTGTGTTAACATTTGACTCTATCCTTGGTCAATGTTTTTTATAAAGTTGATACAACCATCCGTTAACCTCAAAAAAAGACTATAATTGTATGAAAGAAATGAAAATTTGTCATTAAAACAGTTTGTAATACAAATGAATCAGCATATTCAGCATGTTAACATTTTTTAATAAATGTCTTTCCCTTTCTGGCAGAATTTAACCTCATACTTATTCTGCAATAAGCCCAGGGATTAAGCGTACACGTAATCTCTGACTCAAAGTAGCGAGTTGATTTCTTACAGGACAATGCAAAAACTATTTGATGGAATTTCTATTGAACTGCAATAAACATGAATGGGCTTATTACCAGGCATGGGGTTATTGTCAGATAAATCAGGTTTTAAGTAAAATGGAAAAAGTCATGATTTTATTGTTTTAATAAATTTGCTATAAAACGGAAACAATCATTTAATTTCATATCAAATCTTGTTTCAACTACAAATACCGTTAAAGTAAAGTACAACTTCGAAAAACAGCTTCAGTATATTCTGCTAGAAGGCCAACAGTTTTAATTTATCTTCTTGAGAGTTTCACTATTAAATTACGAAAAAGTGTAATACATTTATATTTCCAAATATACAACATCAGATATCCGCCAGATTTTACCTACGAAATACATATTACACAAACCCGTAAATAAATACATGAATAAAATACACAGAAAGAAACAGATTCTGATTTGTGATCAGTGTTCCGGTCAGTTGTGAACTCGGTCAATGTTAATGACAATTTAACATGAACTTTTCATCCATGATATATAAAAAAAAAAAATATATCAGGGAAAAATTATTGGAATTTGATATATTAAATGAAAACCGTTCAATTTGAATTTAAGTTATAATTTTTGAGGTACATTGTACCTTACATTTGCTCTTGTAATTTGTGTAAGAGTTATAACCCTCTACTACTAATACGTAGCATCGAAAATGAATTGAATGTTCTCAAAGCGAGATATTAAATCTAAAATACCTTGGAACTCTTTTTTTTTTATAGAGGTGCATTAAATGGTAAGGTAGCATATATCCTTAAGGAAACATTACACTAAAAAATAATTTACAAAACAAGGACAGTGAAGTCATATTTATACTTTAATATAAATTAAAGTATTTAACATTATATCAGGACAAAAGGTCCAAAGGGCATGTACTACTCATTACATTATATAGGTAGTTATAGATCTACACCCCTATATAGATACCCAAATATTGCACTCATATCTTAGCACCGTTAAGTCATGTGAATTTTTCAGCAGCATGAAGTTTTGTTATCAAGACATTTTTTTAAAAACATATAATGAGGCTGTCTCTTTGTCAAAGGAAGCTTTAGTTATAACGGAAGCAAGAAATATTAGTACAGGTACTGCAATATGTATGAACGTTTTAGCTTACCAAATTAAAACAAGAGGCCCACTGGGCCTGCATCGCTCACCTGGTATAAATCTCACACCTGTAATCTTAAAAGTGATCTAAAATAAAGCTACAGGCAAAATATCAGTATTTATGATTAAAATTCATTTGTAGCCCTTCATCCCAGTTTGCTTCTGGCCAAATATCGACACCCTAGGCCTTTCGGTTATTAAGAAGTTGTTTAAAGTAAAATATTCACGCCGAACACCGGACGGACGCCGCGCCACAGCACTTCGTGCCAGGTGAGCTAAAAATCTTGTCATTTAAAGATTAAAAATATTAATTATCTTCCTTAATATGGCAGGAATAGGCAACAAAATTTCCTTTAAATTGTTTCCAAATAAGCAGTATTGTACAAATTCTCATATTAGCCAAACTGATAGTCTTCTTTTCACAAAACCTGTAAACTATATGTGGTATTTCTAATATTAGCCCTGCCAACACTCAAACCTTTTCAATTCTGCTGAATTTCAAATATTAGATATGAAAATAATTTCTCTATATTGTCTTACCCAACAAATTCATGTAATGCTTGAATTTGAGATTTTAGGGATTGTTTTATCTGCATTGGTACTGATCACATAGCTTGCCAACCTTTCCAATGTTTTTCCAAGGGGAGGCAACTGTCTAAAAAATCTGATTGGAAACATAGATTATTGCAATGAATCTTATATGACAATTTAACAGTGCGAAATGCTTTAGTTTAAACTCAGGTTCTACGCAATAAATGAAATGAGTTTCGGCAAAAATAATGGTGTAAGGAATTCTGCTGTACATCTTCAAATTTCTCTTAGATTTCATCTAAGATGAAGATAGTCTCCTCCAAAATATGGAGACCTGGTAGGTTTACTGTAAATGTGTTTGATCATAAACATACTTAAATGTAACTTAACGATGAAGTTTTGTACAAGAATAGCACTGTAACAAAAAGTTATTATATGTACAGATGTATCATAATTATGCACTTGTGTATGAATCTGTGCAAGTTTTATTTTGGACCATTTTTTGGGATGAATTCTGGCCCCATTTTAATGAAAAATAGCGATGTTTTTTTCACAACTCTCTCCAAAATTTCCCATAACTATTTTTTTCTTTTAAATTTCTGCTTGTATTTAGATGGCAATACAACAAACAGCCATCATCATCAAAACTGTAAATGACGAGTTTGCTTCAGATTTCAAGTAACAGTTTATAAAATATAATCAATTTTCGGTATAATAAATCAAACTTCTCAAAATTAATTAATGACTGCAAAACAATTTGTTCCTGATTCCAAAGCAAAACAAGCCCCATTCCAAAAGTAATGAAAAAAGCCCTGCTAGAAAAAAAATCTGTTCCCTGCCTTAATATACAAATTCACCCCTAGAGTCACATTTGAACCTTACCAAATCAAAGACTGGGCAAGTCCAGTTTAGATATGTAGGGGTGATGAGTTAACAGGGTAAGACACTAATTATATTTGTTTGGTAGCCCACAGGACTAGTAGTTGAATAGATTATTTGCTAGGTATCAAGGTACCTAACAAGTCAAAGATTTCCTTCATCAAGATGTGGTGAAGTTTTCTGAAAATGTTGACCATTATCACACAATAGATCTGTAATTTACGCAGTTTTCGAAATAAAAGGAATCAAACATTCTTATTTTATATGATCTATCTATCAAATGGTATTGTGTGAAAATATATGTTTTACTAGTCCAAAGGACCAGCTGGCTAGGTGATTCTCTAACCCTACAGGACTAGTGTTGGTGTCAAACCCTGCTTTATATATATATATATATATGATGAGCCGACTTCAATTAAAAAAGTGACAACATTTCAACTGTGATATTGCTATCATAGAATAAGAAACTAGTTAGCAAAAGATTGAGGTGAAATAGATAAGATTTTTGTCTGCAAGAAATAGGGAATACAGTTTGGTCATATCTTTGGTATACAAGAGAGCGTTAATTCCTAAATATAGCGGAAGAAGCAGAAAAAACCCATTAACTACATAATGTACAGTAAACAGTAGAAATACTTGTGTGTGGTAATGTTCGCGATGTGGCTCTTTAACTCAGTGACCCATGAAGACACATCTGAACTCTTCCAATTCAAAGGTTGGAATAGTTCATTGTCAAATTTCAGGGGTGAATGAGTTAAAACTAATTAACGGTGTAGAAATTTCAGGTTGGTAATGGTTCTCAACACTATGTATTCTACCTTATCTCAACATAAATATTCACATAAAGAATTATGTTGCGTTAATGCCCACATGCGGTATTTTAGCGGTATAGTCATATTTTAGCACCTTTCGCCGTTTAAAATATAGCCCTAATTAACATCAATTGAAGTTCCTACATATTATCTTCTTTTGAATATTTTTGTTGGTGCGAATGCATGAATACGCTAATTTGTGAAAAAAAATGACAATGCTTTAAAATTTGAGTGCGATTAAAAAGGTACATTCACGCCATAATTGCTTGATGCGTAAAAAATGTGAGCATTTCCACACCCTGACAATTTCAATTTTTACAGCACGTTGTATATATCATACCGCATGCCCCCGATTATAGCCACTATTTCACAACTGTCTTCATTCACATCTCGAAGGCTCTTACGATTTGAGGTTTTTGTTTTTTATTATACTATTTTCCGTCATTCAGAATCAAGGACATCGTCAATTTGAAGGCAATTGTGACTCTTGGGCTCAGATTAAAACAACAGGATCATGTAAACAACAACAAGTTATCACAGTAAACGACATAGAGACCAACTCAATTCTGCACCAGATATCATTACTATAGCAACCAAATATAAACAGTTCTGCACCAAGTAACCTCACCATGGCAAACAGAATCATGACCAAATAAAATAAAATAAAACAATAGAATCGTGTAATTCTGTACATGTTGGTTAATATAAAATATAGATGTTTCTAGGAAACTTAATTTTGTAATATGACTTCTAAACATATATCACAATAGCATTTTTTGTTTTACTTCCGGCACAGTTTAACGAGATTGTTTTAATTTCTAAACTTCTATAATGAGATCAGTCAAAATAAATCGAAAACATGTTGGAATTTCAACAATAACCTCATCAAAATTTATATAACAAGGATAACATAACTCAGCTTTGGACTTCAATCCTGTATAGGCCAGAGTTGTAAAATCCGCTCACACCACGCCCTCCAGAAGCTATTTTTGGGTTTGGGCAATTAAACGCATACAAGGATTAAGCACATGATTTTTTTCATGTATAACTCAGTAATTCCCATTTCGATGTATTTAATTAAAAAATGAAGCAAGTAGAATTTCCAATATGGCACGTATTTGCACAATTTTTTGTACTGTGCATCCCTGGAAGGGAGACAACTCAGATTCTGTACCTGCTGACCTGGTGCCAAGTGTTGAGCTTGCAGAAGACATTTCGTTTCTACAAAACAGCCTGGATCACAAAATGTTGGTCGGCATCTGTTTTGGTTTGGAAGGATACTTGATAAAAAGTCCTAGTTGTATAAAACATAAAACTGCACCAAGGCAATTGGAACACTGAAAAGAAACAACAGTAAAAATTGTTACTGTGATAAGGAATGTGATTTGAAACCTGTATAAGGCCAAACTCTTCCCCTGTTGAAAGTTTCCAGTAGGACACTTTTAGTTGGGGGAAAGAAATGACTACTACTTACACGGAAAAACTGTTAATATTTTCATTCTCATGAATACTTGTTTTCACCACAATACATTATATGTACATCAAAAATCTTATTTGTGAGGAATTTCAATCAGAGGATCCGAAACCATTTAAATAAACAATAATCCTTTTTTTCTCTCTGATTTCTGTCTAACGAAATATTTGTGAGATATTTTTAATTCGCGATTTACTGTTTTCCCGAACCAATGCGAAAATACAAACTACACAAAAATGACCAAACTTACTATACATACCATAAATATTTGCATACAGTAAACATTTTTTAGGGAAAAAAATATATTTCAAGAAAGCGGTGCATACAATACACAAGAACAATCCAAAACCAGTCCTGGGTCATGAACTTTTCAAAGATTATCGGAAATATTTTGAAAAGAAAATTTGTGCCAATAATCCTAGAATAAATTGCATAATAAAATTAGTAATTTTCGTATACTTCCAGAATGCATTATCTACATTACCAAAACAAAAATTCATAAGTACAGTGGTATTATAACACGACTGTAGCCTACATACCTGTACATTTACATCCTTGATTGTAATGCCGTATACAAACCATTCTATGGCTACGACAAAGTTAGCGAACACCAAAGGGAAAGACATACACTCCGTACTTCTTGATCTCACAACATCCTTCTGAAAATAGGAAATAATAAAACTAATCAAATTATATGTATTAAGAAACTCAAGGTTTTATAAAACAAGGTCTTGTCACCATTATAACAATTAAAAATTACGACCCCCCCCCCCCCCCCCCCCCCCCACAAGAATATATATATGAAGCTCTCTTTCAAACCTTTTCATCAAAATAAATAAAATAAATATCATTTTGTTATAATTTCAAATTTGAATTTGTGCTTTGTAACACGTCTGTGACTGGTTAATAGTAGCACATGTGACCTAAAAAAACAACTGTTGATATTAGTATGAATGCCTGTTTTCTTCATTGAAAAACCACTTTTAAGATTTTTCAAATCCCCATTTTTTTCGATAAGCCATTGTCATTTGAGTTGTCCCCTATTGTATAATCCAAACTCATTGTAAACAAGATACTAGATCTAACATCATTTTTTACTTTAATCGTCTTAATTTTATTGTTTATTTTTATTATTTTTAGAAATTACGTTATGGCTGTTCATGGGGTGTGTAAGTAAATGTTCACCTGTTAATACTTTAATGATTATTGGAAAAATCCAGATTCAATCCTGATGTTTCATATACATGTAATAGACAAAAGTTAGAACGCAGTAGGGAATTATAGGCCATGGGGAGGGTTCATTATCCCATAGCCATGAACACGTAGTCTTAAACCATAATTTTTCTACCAATAAGCTTTTCACAAAATCTTTTACATCTCCTTTAATTTGCTATATGAAAATAACAAAACTTGGGTGTCTGCGGTTGGGAAAGATAGTGAAGGTTGGGGTGGGGGTGCTTCAATGTTTAACATAAAATACCTATACTGGCCAACAATAATATGGCTTCACTTTCCCATCAGGGGGTTTAATATGCATTTTGGTAATGTGAATGGTATTTCAACTCACTTCCCCATGCTAAAAAATACCATGCAACCCACATGTCAATCATTGCATAACAAATGCTCAAGTTATATTCTCATTCAAGATGTCTATAATTTTACCTTAGTACTGACCAATTTTAATTTGTTCTCTGGAGTTAATACAAAGAAGTATATAGAGGATCTGGGATGATGAGTGGCCATGTCATAGTGAATTTATTACACAAGTTCAATGATTCAATATGACACTTAGGCTTTAGGTGAGTGTCATGTCAAAATTATTGAAAGAGTTTAATAAATTCAATATGACATGGACATGAATATAAGATTTTATTTATCACATAACATTCATAGTTTATAAAAAAAACTTCAAACACAATTATTTCGTATCAGCTGACACTATACAAGTCAAAACCAAAGTACTCTGATAATAATATTGTTGTGTGGGCAATGCAAAGTAGTTACAGATTTTTATTTTAATAGTGAACAGTTTTAAAAGTAATGACAATAACAATGACAAAATAACATTTCAAATTCATTTAAACCGACAGTAGATATATCAAGTTGCATTGTAAATAAAAGTAGTACCTGTAGTGGTGTAGGAATATGCTTCCACAATTTTGACCAATCGTTATATTATAGCCCCTTAAGGTTTTATTACATATGTAAATTCAATACTTATGACATGGCCTTATGACATAATAAAATGGGTCAGTTATGTGATAAATGTATATATAGCATTATGACCATCTTACCAGTGAGGCGAGCGGAGCCGCGTAAGCTATGATCGACATGAGGACGCAGAAGGACCCAAAGTGAGCGGTGGCCAGCGCCTCGTCCTCCTGGTAATACTTAACATAAATAAGCGGCAGGAACAGGATCACGCTACTCACAAAAAATAACTTCACAAACTGGGACTGCAAAACAGACAGGTCATAATTCATAACATGCATGTTTGCTGGGAAAAAAAACAATTTCACAAACTGGGACTGCAAAGCAGACAGAATATAATTCACAAAATGTTTGTTCACAAAAAAACAACTTCACAAACTGGGACTGCAAAACAGGCAGGTCAAAGTTCATAGAATGTTTGTTCACCAAAAACAACTTCACAAACTGGGACTGTAAAGCAGAGAAGATATAATTCATAAAATGTTTGTTCAAGGAGAACTATAAATTTCACAAACCGGGACTGAAAAACAGCTTGGATTGCAAAGCTGATAAAAATCATGTTTCAAGGTCAATAATAAACTTCACAAACTCGGACTACAAAACAGTTGACACGTTTCTTACCTTTCGAACAGTAAACGTGTAGAAAATGACAAGATAGAAGAACTGGAGAAGCGAGGCGAATGAGTTGACGACAAGAACTTGCGTGATGTTTTGAATGATGCCATACTTGGCCCACAGGCAGGCTCTGTAACATAAAATACAAAGGAGAATAACTCATCGATCAATCAAGTAGGCAGGCTCTGTAACATAAAACACAAAGGGGAATAACTCATCGATCAATCAAGTAGGCAGGCTCTGTAACATAAAACACAAAGGGGAATAACTCATCGATCAATTAACATCCCACATGCATCATAATTGAAATCAAAACTGAAAATATCATTCTCAGATACCCGGCAAGTGTAGCGTAATTGACTGTGGGTATCTGACAATGTGAAAAAAAATGATATTGTGACAATTGTATAAAGTTACGAAACTTGAAAACCAATACTGTTTAAACCAATTAATATTTTTTCCCTTCATCTTCCTGTATTTGAGAGAAAGAGCATATAGCATTTCATCCACGGCTGCTGTATAATCAAACTCCTCGGTAGTGAAGCGGACATAAGACCACTCAAACTTAAACATGGAAGTGTGGTTTTCACCCAGGACAGATGATGAAATTATTTGTTGTTTGTTTGTTTGTTTGTTTGTTTGTTCGTTTGAGTGGTCTTTAATTTCTTTCAAACCATCCCTATTTTTTCTGGTAAAATTAGCAGAACAAAGAATTTTTTGTTCTTTACTGTACTTGAAAATTTACAATCTTGTTAATCCTCTATAAATCAAACATTGTGCTTTGTGTTTTTCCATCGAAAGTGCAAAACCATTAACACGTACAGCACTTGAATTCACAAAATTTTATATATATTATATGCATTCAAATATTTTTCACAAATATGAAAACACCTCGGTAACTTCTCATGAAAATTATCAGTGCATTTTATTTGGTCCTTTTGTATTTCAATAATCACTTATGTTCAACAATGTTGCAGGCCATTTTTCCTTTTTATTCAAAACTAAAATTCAATTGAAATTAATGTCAATCTTTTCAGGAAATATTGTTTTTTCCTTGAACAACAGCATGTATGTGAATCCTGAAATCCACACAGGAAATACATGCCCATGTAAGCGTCATTAGACCCATAAACCGAGCAATATATACCGTATTTGAGGTATAAGGTGCCTGCTGTTAACCTATATGCTTTTCATAAAAATTTGAGATTTTTGTGTCCTATTATTTCTGGAAGTTGTCCAGTTGATAAGATTTGAATTAGATAACTTCTGACACCAACACTGCACCATAAATGTTTACTGAATGAAAACAGAGTTACCATATCATATGCATGGGACTTTTTCTTTTGATATATCCAATGTTTTCCTTCATAATATATAGCGTCCACTTCATATTGAAGGAGAATTCAACTTGGAAATCCGTTAAAGAAACTACATGCATGTCTCTGCTGTGGTCGTAAAAAATTACAATACGAAGTACGTTGTTTGAGGAAAAATATCTCCAAATAAAAGTGACTCGATTACTTGTCATTTACTTGCACCTGGTATGTTTATTATTTCAAATACTGTACACTTGAGGCTATTTATGTTTCTGTTGACGTATTAGTGTAGCTGCCGAGTGAATTCAGAGATTGTGATCAGAGATAAAAAAGATGAAGTATGATTTTGGTGAAGATGTTTAACTTTCTTAATATGCGAGTGTATTATTGTGGGTTTTTTTAGCGTTTGTACAGCAAATATAATTCTTTTGTCCACATTCAAATATATTCAAGTAGATTTCGGACCAGAAGGTAATGCATCAAAATGTCAAGCTTCTTTTAACAATGAACAATATCTAAAGTTATATGAAATATATTCAAGTCTCAAAACTACCCATAAACAGGAGATAAATGGTTTCCTTTGAATTCCCGACCCCCCCCCCCCCATCCCCTAACACTTTGCATTCCATTCATTCCACTCCGTCTTACAGAAACTGAATTGCCTTCTCAGACTTTTGATATTTTATATATATACCTATATACTATACATCGTCCTTGAATCTTTCAATTTCATATTTCAATATTTGAAGTACCTCACAAATCCTAAAAAAGAATCATTCTAAATTATCATTGACAAATATTCTCATTGACTGCCCCTCTATACAATGTAATTTATGTTAAGCTGCACCACTTATATAACTCATTCACCCCTAAAGACACATTTGAGCTCTTCCAATTCAAATGTTGGAAAAGTTCATTTTGAAATTCCAGGGGTGAATGAGTTAATTCCTTTTGAATCCTGATGAAAATTACATTCATGTTTACTCATGTTTATAATAAACATATTGAATTTTCAATGTATTTTCTAAATGAAATCTCTTCAGAAAACAGGCCATTCGGATTGATATGTCTTGCCTGTGTCCCACTTTGACCATCAATGCACATATATCAGAGAAACTGACTTTAACACAAAATCTTAAAGATGATGGAGATGCTGACAAAGTCAATGGACCATGAAAGGTAAGGCTGCATCCAGCATTGGATGCACGGGTTGAGATGTACTACCTAAGAAGCATCTTATGGTCCAAGTTTGGTTGGTTTAGCACTTATACTTTCAGTAAATGTTGACTTCGAGGTCACCGGAAAAGCAACATTTTATAGTCTCACTTCCGCTACTTCGTCGCGGCGAGACAAAAATATGTATTAAAAATTTCCTTTATAACCAACAAAAGACATTTAAACCTAGTATACTGAATATTTCCCATTGAGGATATACCTACAGTTATGATGTAAAATCAAATATTATTTGCCTACCTGGAATAAAATTCTCAAATTAATATATATTCTGAAACTTCAAATTTTATTTCATTCTTTCGTAATTTCAGCAGTGTGAAGAAGAAAGTGACAATTAGAAAAGAAAAACAAGAGGCCCAGTGGGCCTGCATCGCTCACCTGGTATTTAATTCACACTTGTAATCTTAAAAGTGGACTAAAATACAGCTACAGGCAGAATATCAGTGTTTGATTCATAAGAACCTATTAAAAGATTTAAACATATGACGCCTGTGACCTTGAATGTCGAACAAGGACATCAGGTTGAAAGTGGATCAAGGTCATTCATTTGAACAAACTTGGTAGTCCTTCATCCCAGCATGCTACAGGCCTAATTTCAGTACCCTGGGCCTTTTGGTTATGGAGAAGTTGTTTTAAGATTTTAAAACATTTGACCCCTGTGACCTTGAAAGTTGGTCAAGGTCATTCATTTGAACAAACTTGGTAGCCCTTCATCCCAGCATGCTACAGGCCCAATATCAGTACCCTGGGCCTTTTGGTTATTGAGAAGAAGTTGTTTGAAGATTTTAAGACATTTGACCCCTGTGACCTTGAAAGTGGGTCAAGGTCATTCATTTGAACAAACTTGGTAGCCCTTCATCCCAGCATGCTACAGGCCCAATATCAGTACCCTGGGCCTTTTGGTTATTGAGAAGAAGTTGTTTGAAGATTTTAAGACATTTGACCCCTGTGACCTTGAAAGTGGGTCAAGGTCATTTATTTGAACAAACTTGGTAGCCCTTCATCCCAGCATGCTACAGGCCCAATATCAGTACCCTGGGCCTTTTGGTTATTGAGAAGAAGTTGTTTGAAGATTTTAAGATATTTGACCCCTGTGACCTTGAAAGTGGGTCAAGGTCATTTATTTGAACAAACTTGGTAGCCCTTCATCCCAGCATGCTACAGGCCCAATATCAGTACCCTGGGCCTTTTGGTTATTGAGAAGAAGTTGTTTGAAGATTTTAAGACATTTGACCCCTGTGACCTTGAAAGTGGGTCAAGGTCATTCATTTGAACAAACTTGGTAGCCCTTCATCCCAGCATGCTACAGGCCCAATATCAGTACCCTGGGCCTTTTGGTTATTGAGAAGAAGTTGTTTGAAGATTTTAAGACATTTGACCCCTGTGACCTTGAAAGTGGGTCAAGGTCATTTATTTGAACAAACTTGGTAGCCCTTCATCCCAGCATGCTACAGGCCCAATATCAGTACCCTGGGCCTTTTGGTTATTGAGAAGAAGTTGTTTGAAGATTTTAAGACATTTGACCCCTGTGACCTTGAAAGTGGGTCAAGGTCATTTATTTGAACAAACTTGGTAGCCCTTCATCCCAGCATGCTACAGGCCCAATATCAGTACCCTGGGCCTTTTGGTTATTGAGAAGAAGTTGTTTGAAGATTTTAAGACATTTGACCCCTGTGACCTTGAAAGTGGGTCAAGGTCATTCATTTGAACAAACTTGGTAGCCCTTAATCCCAGCATGCTACAGGCTTAATATCAGTACCCTGGGCCTTTCGGTTATTGAGAAGAAGTTGTTTGAAGATTTTAACATATTTGACCCCTGTGACCTTGAAAGTGGGTCAAGGTCATTTATTTGAACAAACTTTGTAGCCCTTCATCCCAGCATGCTACAGGCCTAATATCAGTACCCTGGGCCTTTTGGTTATTGAGAAGAAGTTGTTATAAGTAAAAAAGTTGACGCCGGACAGACGGAGGACGGACGGACGGACGGACGGACGGACGGACGGACGGACAACGGAGGCCGCACCATAACATAAGCTCACTTGCCCTTCGGGCAGGTGAGCTAGAAATTGAATGATATATTTTCCCTTCCTACAAGTACCTACCCAAACCATCAGGAAATCGAACCCCAGCCGCCTTGGTGAAAGGTGGGTGCGTTATTCACTGTGCTACCTGACCGTATTTTTGGTATACAATAAAGTACACACATGTACCAGATTTATCCTGCAAAAAAGCCTAGGAAGCCAACACAATCTCTGAATCAAAGAAGAGAGGGAGGGGGCTTATTACTACATTTCTATTACACGGTAATATGGGGCGGCTTATTATCAGGCATTGGCTTATTGCTGGATAAATATGTATGTAATTATAAGTTATATCTCTAGTATAACCTACTTTGATGTATAGAATTCTTTTACATTATGTTAATTTTGATGATGGATTTTAATAATCAACCAATTGTAACAGGGCTGATATATAAAATTTCAAGTCCCCAAGACAATGTCTGAAATAATAATCATAATTGATACAGATTTGGGTCAACTGCAATTTTATCAAATTAACAATTGAAACGGCCAAATAAAAC